GTACAGTTAGTAATTTGACTTTTTGGGCAGCCCAATCCATGTTGGCCAGCCAAGCCAGTCATTTTGCGAGTGATGGCCAAGAATGACATGGCCGTGTGCCAATGCATTCTGTAGTATGAGTTTTTTTGTCTTCCAGAATAGTGACTTTCACAGACAACCAGTCATTTTGTAGTATAGGTAGTACGTTTGGAGTATGTTTGGAGTATGTTCGGATGGAATCGGGTCTGTTCACAGATTGATATAGTAAGCTGCAATCACTTAGAATATTTCCTAATTCCCCCGAGGGCATTAGACATTATTCTATATACATATATATATCTTTTGGGGAAACAGTCTTGACGTAGCCGAAAAGCAGTAAAACAGTTCGAGATAGACGTTGGCCCAGTCATTTTCTAGTGGGACATGAGGCTTGCCCGTACTTGGCCACTCACAGTTTCCACTATCTCACCTCGCTGGAAAGGTGCACCCCCCTCATTTTCTAGACCCCAAACCTCAGTCCCTACTACAAAATGCATTGTCCAACTTCACCCGTCACCCCGTGAATTCACACGAGGATGAAAGAGGTATGTCGCCATGGTTCTCCAAATGTTTGCCAGGTATGCCATCCTGAAGTTGCCAACCAAGGCAGAGGGTGGTGTAAAGCTGTGAGATTCAGACTTAGTTTGTATGATTCAAAAGGATTAAACTATATTTTTTTTGATAGTTGCCTTGCCATATTTTGCCATGCTGTCATTGTTTTCTGGATATCTACACCGGGATCCTGGCGTAACGTGTAGTCTCCAGTAGAAGGCGTGACATTGTGCAATCATAGGTACTGTTTCAGGGACACGTCCGCCAGGGAGATCTAATTTGCTTTCTAGTCTGGCTTGAAAACAATCACCTTAGCTGGCACTTTGAAAATGCTGCCCTGACTTGTATGTCCAAACAATTGGAAGTGCAGTGGCAAAAAAAACATATGCACGTAGCGTCAGGTGTTGTTTATAATATAGAATATTTGCACGCATCGTCAGGTGATGAATAATTGTTGAATATTGATGTGCAAAAAAAAGGACGATAGACAGAAGCTAGTGATGAAAGCAAGTTATGAAACCTGTTCAACTCTCCGGTTTGGAGAAAACAGGACCTCCCTGCTCTCCAAAGCCTCTACCAGCACTCTCGCGAGTTCTTCCAACGGCCCAACAAATACAAGGTCCGACGGCTCCACAGGAAGGGGGCGAACGGCGAATGGTTGGGCGAACAAAAACGGTTCCGGGTTAAAACCAAGGGAACAAAAGACACCAAGGGTTTTTGTTGCTTTTCTTTGTTTCCAAGGGTGAAATAAACTATGGGTTCAGAACCGGGGTTTGTGCCGGGTTCAGAAACTTGGTTTGTCGGTTTCGGAAACTTCGGGCTCAGAAACTACTTCAGAAACTATTTGGGTCATCAGAAATGGGGCGAGGCAAGGTGGCCGATTTCGGCGTGTAGGAATTTCCATAAGCCCTGTCGAGTGCAGACTGTAGTGCGTCCCTGAAAACCCATTCTGGGACAGAAAGACTATGAAAGAATAGAAGAAGACGACGCATGGTATGCATCAGCTGGTTGTGCCACCGTCGGAAAGTGAACAGGTACAACGCCCAGTCGGTGGAGTGATTTTACGTTGGGTTGCGAAGACATGACGTTCACATTCCAACGTTTCCAACGCTTGCTGATCCTAAAGGCGCCTAAAGGCATCCTCACCAAATCTGACAATTGTCCTTCTGTTTATTTTTTTACATCAATGTTCAATTATCCTTTCTTTGGATGTCGGCACCATCATTTAAAGCTTCCCATGTCCCATCCTTCGCGCAACAACCAAACAACGTCCCGACTTCAGCGGCTCTGACGACGCGGCATCCGTCCGTGACGAGCGGTGACGCAGTGACGACGCCGACGGGTCTGACCGGTGCACTGACTTCTTCGCCAGGAGACCTTCAAGTGCTTTCCCATCCCAGGTGGTTACCTGACGCCCTACCCAGGCACCCATGAGGCCTGTTTGACTGCGTCAAGTCGAGAAAGCACGGGCCGGAGAAGACGTGGAGAAGACTCTGGAGTTGGTGGGGTGGGGTGCGAGTGTTTCTTCAAGAAAGTGTAGATATTTGGTTTGGAATCAGCGGTGAACGTCCACAAGAGTAGGTTTCACTGAGGGACAAAGAAAGGTGGTAACTTTTATGCGCAAACCAAAAGCACGGGCAACATTGTGAACCCGTGTGACGTGTGCTTGACCAATGCCTATATAATTTATATGTCAATGACATAAACAATTATGCAAAGATTGTTCTTCACTTAAGGTTCAACAATAATTTATTTGATCCTGATCCCGTCAAGTTTTGCCCTTGCATTTGTCGATTTGCGCGAGTGTTATGTTCTTTTGCAGAGCCTATTGAAACACGAAAGCTTGCAGGAATTCCTGAAGACTAAAGTACGACAGGAATGGTGAAGATCCTCGATCCACGCTGTGGTCCCCTTGATTGCATTGCAAGAACACTCCAAGACTCTAAGAATAGCAAGTCTTCAACTTGATAAACCTATGACTTTAGATGGTCAATCACACAACTTGCGAATGGCCTTCCATGCTGCCATGTGCAAAGCTGTTACCCCAATCTGTGGTTTGCTGGAGCCTTGACAGCTCCAGCCTCAAGCAGCAATCCCACAACTCAGAAAAAGAAACCGTTCTGGGCCGTGAAGTGAAAAGCTGTTGTCCCATGTGTCGATGCTGCATCCTTGACAGCTCCAGCCTCGAGCACCCTCCTCACAACTTCCCAATGGCCGTTCTTTGCTGCAATGAACAAAGCATAACAAAGATATTGCCCCACTTGCCGTTGCCGCATTGAGGCCCGCTCCAGCCTCGAGCAACAATCAATTCACATCATCGTTCTGGGCAGCAGTGTAGAAAGCCGTTGCCCCATGTTCAGTTGCTGCATCCTTGCAGCTCCAGCCTCGAGCAACAATTGCACGTTCTTTGCTGCCATGTGCAAAGCTGTTGCCCCAAATACATCGTTTGCATCTTCGTCATCTCCAAGATTGATGTCCTCATACAGTAACTTCCAACTGTCACAGTCATCTCTGTCTGCAATGTGAGCATACATCTTTGCTGGATCTCTGTCATTTGTCGTTGCTGCATCCCTCGCAGCGCCAGCCTCAAGCAACCATCCTACAACTTCCAGCCGTTTTGGGCTGCAAATCAACCTCTCTCGAGTCCTGTGGGCTTTGGGAGTCCTTCCATGTGAGCCAATATATGATTCTTGCCGTCTCATCAGGGCCACCAGGTGTACATTGTACATTCGATAGTGGTCCTAGAGGCAACTCAGCCTCCAAGTTGCCAAGCTCGTTATTGAATTCTTGGAGCACCCAACCCGAGCTGAAAGAAGTTGCTTCAGGAAAAAGCACAGCTTTTCCCACTTTCCGCCATGCGCAGCCATTCCCAAAGATCCAGCCAATGCAAATTCGTCACTTCCGTTCCGGTGCTCCTTTTTAGATTCGAGATTTTCTTTGTCGCCTGGAAATGGTTAAGGGACTCCAAAAAGGTCACTTTGAAGACGCTGGTACAGTATACTTGTTTTGTTCAATCCCGTTTCAATCCCCCATGATGAGGTGGTTATATGTGGTTTTACCATGCCGATGGGGGTGCCCAGCAAAGCTAGAGTCTACATTATCGGTTTCCCTCGTGAGCGAATGGCTTCGAGAGAAACAGCACAGCGGACACTGCACTTGCGAACGGACACTGCTTCGATGTGCTTCGATGTACATGCGGCCTCGAAGTGACTCTGTGTGCAGAGAAGGACTTCAACCTCACATAGTCTCACAGAGTCTCACAGACTATGCATGCATACATATTGCTGTCATTTGATGTTGCAACAGTTTTTTACCTGTCAAAAATCCTGCGCTGTGTATTGATTTATTCTTGTTTACATCCAAGCCATGTCCTTTTTTCCCACCTGGCCACCCGCATCGCCCAGTTCCCCGTCTCGTTAGATCTTCGAGCTGCGTCGCGGACTGCCACGATGCCCCAGCGAGTTGCTACAGGCCGCGAGCTCGCTCGGCGGGGAGGGAGCGTTGGGGAGCTGACTTTGCATTAGGGGAGACCTGGGTGAGCAAAGTGAAGACCTTTCTAGAAGACTTGAACCGTTTTAATGCATTTTGATGACTCTTGGTGAATCATGCTTCCTCCCATTTGGAGTCTAAAACCATTTTAAACGTTCATGCATTTCTTGAAATATAGTATAATCATTCAGGTGATGAAGCTGGAATATTTTTTGAGGGTCAGACATGCGGAGAGTTATTCAGGAGGTTGAGTGGGACAGCTGGAGCAGGTAGGGCGACTTTGTGTTTGTCCTTTCATGTTCTTTTTGGGAACGGAATCGGTACTGCTGATGGACCTAATCTGGAAAGCCTTAATCTGGATCGTATGTGGTATTCCGATAGAGTGCGCATGGATATGCGACCACAGCAATCCGGAGTTGCTTTTCAACACCATAGTCTCTGTTTGAACAACTCACTTTTCACCATCCAGAATTGATTTTCAGCTAGATCCCAAGTACTAAGAGGGGTCGACTTCTGGATCCAAGAGTCCAAGATGCTTCAGAAGAGCCCGTTGCGTTCACTCAAGTAAGCCACGGTGCTGGGTAACCTCTTGGCGATGCCGGTGGTGTTACAACCTGAACCGTTCGCATGGACGGCAAAACCCTATACGTGGACTAATTACCTCAGGTTCCATGTGGGGAGACCCGAACCGGGCAGGATTGGGTGAAAGGAAACATCGTAAACCATTATTTTCACTTCACAAACTCTAGATGTGTTTGCTGTTCCCTTGAACCATCTAGGTCTAAGCAATTCTGGGATGGAGAAGCAAGGAATTGCTGTAACCCCATACACAGGGGTTTTAAGTCCCAATTTCTCAAATGTACAGACATGTGAAGACTGTTTGGAGGTTCCCAAATGGCTATCTAAAGGTGCTATCTAAAGCCTCCAGATGAACCGTCCGCAGCCCACATCGGCTCACTGTAGCCGACCGGCCTTTCTGTTAGTGAACCTCTTTCCCGGTTCACCGGGCTGTGCCCGCGTGACCGGCGGGCGTTTCACGAGCCATTCAGCCCTGGAGTTGTCAGGGTGTTTCACGAGCCAGTAACCTTATTGGCATAGACTAGCAACATGGCCAGCAAGACGACGTGGTGGAAGGTGAGGTGGTTCCGGGGCGGAGCAGCGGTGTTCAGTGATAGTTACGTTGTTTCCTTTGATTGTGGGTGGTGTAGAAACCCAGTTACTCAATCTATGTTAATCATGCTCAACAATGCAACACTATAGTAAGCATTTTGTTTAGGGGGTAATAATTACATAAAATATACGTGGGTTCTGAATTCGTATCATTGGGAATATTATTTGTCTTATTGTCCAAGTCCAGTGTGTTTGGGAATGCAGTTGTGATGTTGTAGGACCTTGTAGGATTAACGCTGCAAGTTGACACCTAAAAACTATGAAACCATGGTAGCTTCTTCATGTTGGTGGGTTGTTTCTCAGCGGGGACAAGGTTTGTATCAGCAGGCAAGCAGTCAAAGCAGCTGCCATCGCTGCATCCAAGGCATGCTCCTCCGATGGCTGCCAGCCGCCGCACTGCTAGCTGTGCCGCTCGAGGCGGCATTGCTGAACCAAATTGCTACTTGGTTGGATGATTACTCCCTGGCCAGGTGATCGCAGTGTTTCAGATGTTGCTATACTTCAGGCAGAAAGACAGGTTAGCTGGGAAGAACCCTAGCTCAGACATCCAGAAGTCAGACAGACAAAATGTTATGCGTCTCCAAAATTACAAATACATACAAATACCTGTTTACTTTGCACGAAAAGATCCGCAAACCCTCAAACATGTCAGTTTCCTACCAAGAAAAACGTGTTGTTTGTTCCCCACTCACCACCCATCTCGCACCAACGCACCTGGAGTCTCGTCTCGGCCACACCACCTCAAAGCACTGGTCGAACTGATTTGAGGTCGGAGGCCATCGCTACTAGGCTGGAGGCCATCGCTAGTAGGAGTAAGAGTGCCTCAAAGCACTCTTATCATCTTTGATCGAAGTCATACTTCGATGTATGCAGCTTTGCTCCACTGTGCAGCTTGCGCTGCTTGCATACTCCACTGTCCAACTTGCAAAGTTGCCTGGCCTGCTTGCTTGCCGCGCCTGCTGATGGGCTGATGGGTGGTCTGCCAGCTTTAAGGCCAAGCAGAGACAGACCCAGCAGGGACAAACTCAGCTGCTTCAGCATCCAAAGACGAGTGGTTGGCACGTGCGCCAACGCCAAACACGAATGGCAAATCCCAACCTACTTCGTAGTGGGCTTCAAAGGTTGGCATCCAGCAGTGTCCGTGATTTCTTGACAGGTTCCCACTTGTTGCAAGCAATGCCCAGTCCCCAGTGGACCAGAGGCAACATGTTCAACATGTTATGCCAAATAGGCATTGGTCCTTACTTCATTGGTCTTTGTGCTGGTTTATGCTGGCTTTGATGAATGAATGATCATGAATGTATGCATACTTCTAAGTCTCAGGCTCAGGATCGTCGGCTAGTACATCTCGTCGGTGCAGTACTTCGGCTTCTTCCAAATCATCCCGGTTCGAAGACTTTGAGGAAGGTAACCTGTTTCTGCGGTTTGACAGGAGAACACTCACCTTTTGCCGATCTATCGCCGCGACGCGGTTAGCGTTGCCTCGGAAAACAAGACGCGTAGCGTTGCTTCACTGAGAACGGACTGAAGTTCTCGTTGGACTGAGTATCAGACTGTCAGATTGCTTGCCATACGATGGTCGTTTTCCTCATGGCAAACAAAAACGTCTATAGCGGGTTTCAGCTGATGTGGCCTGATGACCGAGTGTCATCCCAACCGGACTCCCCAAAGAGAGATTTTGGGCGCACCTCAAGAGGATGCACGCCTCAAGATCAAGGTGCAAGCTTGTTTTTTGCACTCTGATGTCACCATGGTCACCAGAGTGATGAATCGCACCAGTCATTCCAAACAAAACCTGTCAGTGTTTGTGTGCGAGTCGATGTTGGTCCTGTTTGGTTCCATAATTGGATCATCAACGATATGGATGTCCTCCTTACGGCCTACGGCCTGTCCTCCTACGGCCTGTGATATCGGGTGTGAAAACAAACCCCAAAACAGTGTCCGTTCACCGCCGCATGTGCTCTTTGCGGTTTCTATGTAGGCTCACTGGGAAACGGAGAAGCAAGCCTCCCTGAAGGGGGTTATATCGGTAAGATCGTTGTGGTAGCATTTAGACTGATGATGATGGTTGCACGGGGCTTTCCTGAATGACCATAAGATTACAATATAGCAATTGCAGTATCTTCCAACCCTAAGCCCTGCAAGACGTGTTTTCTTTCTCCTGTTTCAATCACTCCGCATCGCTGAGGATCCCCTCCCGCCGCAGACATCGCCCTTGACCTTTGCGCAATCACTCAAGGAGGCGCAGGACACGTTTGCCGCCGCGGACAAGTCCGGACCACCCAGCAGGTGGCGCCAGACGTCCAGAGACGGACGTCGGCAAAGGAGGGCGGGTCGACGGGCGTCATGGGGCTTTTGGACAGTACGACAAACTGGCGACCCGTGACCCGAACTTGGTTCTTGGGGAAACTCGTCCAAAAACTCCACCATGGGTCCAGGAAATGGCAATCTATTTTTAATACTACCTACCGGCCATCACCCTCCAACAGGCTTTCCGACAGATGCCCAGAAACCTGTTAATTAGGTTGAGGGATCCCTCACTCAAGCCTCAGAGACGACCTCCAAAACGCCGGTCGATCGGGTCGGTCTCCGCGCAGTCCCAGGTTCTTCGCGGCGGCGCGCTTGGAGCACGCTCGAGACCGTGAATCGGTCGAGCGCATGGAGCGCGCCGTGGCTCAGCACCAGGTGGACAGCTGTTTAGCTTTTGAGAGCGAAGTGGCAAAGTGTGGCGACACGGTAAACCTGCGCTAAAATGGGGCAATATAATATATATATATATATATGGGAGGATGTGTGGTCTTGGAGTTGATCTATAGTCGAGTCAGGAGCTTTTGTTTGGAGCTGAAAGCATCTGAACATATCTGAAAACTTCTCGTTTCGTGTTCCAATGCGCGAGTTTATTTAATTCGTCACTTTTGGTGGGTTTGTCAGATGTTTGGTGTTCTCTACGGCTTGAACAGGTAGAAGGCTTGTTTGGCCTGGATTTGCTTTGGATAGTTGTTCCAGATAAACCAGCATCGCATATTTACGTTCACTCATTAAAATTATTCCATGGCCAAAACCGATACTCAGAACTACCCAACGGTTCGGCAGCTCATGCTGCCATGGGTACCTGTCAATGCCCACGATGTCGACGATTTCTGAGCAGGCGGAGATTCCAGGCATGGAGTTCGCAGGGATGCAGGCGGGTGCAAATCGGAGCGTTTTGCGTGGAGTGGAGACAGGGGGTAAGATCAACATGTGTTTGTGATGTTAATAAGTGAGTCCTCTTTCAGGCTTTCCAATAGTAAATTTGCACTAGCAACTTCCAATGAAATAAATTCCAATCTTGCCAGTATTCCTAGCCCTGTGAGAGTTCATTTCTTCTTCGCTAGTCACCAGACACATTTTTCATCACGCGGCTTCACTGAGGACCCACTCCCTTTGCCGCAGATACCGCAGCGGACATTGCCCTCGGCGTTCGCGCAGTCGCGCAAGGTGTCGGAGGAGCGCGGAGTAAAGTTGACTTTGAATGGACTCATACCAGTGGGTTTATCCTCGGGAAGCTCACGCTAAATACGGTTTGGGAGGAGGTGTGGTGTTGGAGTTGATCAAATTAGTCAACCTATAGGAGCAATATGGAGCAATTATTACAATTATTTGGAAGTGTTTTTTTGTGTGTTCAAAGTTGAGAGTCGTTTTTGTGTGTTCATTCGTGAGTTTGGGTGGTTTAGTAAGCATATATTCTGACCCTTTGAAATGTCAAGCAGGACCTCGTAGAGGGCTTGCTTGGCCTGGCTTTCCTCTTCAAAGCTTATAACTTATAACTTTTGAGAGATACCAGTCCAGACTTCCTCGGCAGGGTGGTGGTTAGTTGCTGGCTACAGATATACCAAGACCAGCAAGCATACATTACAATTACATTTGATCAATTGAGATCCGTCCAAACATGTCGGAACCAAGAGCTTCATGTCGGTAGGTCTTACATCGAGCATACATTGAAAACCGATGAGGAAAACCCAAGACCGATGCCTTTGTATTATACATACGTACATATACGTACGTACGTACATACTACTACTACTACTACTAATACTAATACTAACTACTACTACTACTACTACAACTACTACTACTACTAATACCAATACTAATACTAATACTAGTACTAATACTTACTACTACTACTACTACTACTACTACTACTACTACTACTACTACTA